TGAATGTGGACAGGGACCAGCTCAGCTCCTGCTGGGCACATCCACACATTTGCTATGAGGGACAACTGGTCAGATCTTGCATAAGATGCTATGGCATTGCCATTGACACCAAGTAGCTAATGACCCATAGATCTTGTACGTTTTCTTACAAACTTCTTGTTCCCAGTATATAAATCAGGCCTCTCTTAAGATAATTTATATAACACCAGTTTCCATAACAACATATTGTTCAATAAAACACAAACACCTGGTAGAGCTGCTGTTGTCATGAAGTGATTGACCACAACAGTGAGTGAGAGGCTGTGTTACAGCCAAGATCGCTCCATGTCAACATGCTCAATTGCAGTCTAATGATGCTATATCAAAGATCATCACTCCTTTGTGAATCACTACAAATCATAGCATATACATAAGAAGCAGAACAAGATGGTCCTAAAGAAGCATTTTTTCCCCAACAACAAAGCATGAAGTCACACCTCATCATTCAATGGTTGCAGAACTGTGCGGTAGCCAACACCACTGAAGGCAATGTTAGGACCTAATGGATGCCTATGAAGAAATGCAACTTGGGCTCTCAGGTTGGACTCTCTCTATGTTTAGAGTCTGCCAGGAGCAAGCTTTCCCCATCTGCCACAATAGTTTTTTTTCCCCTATCAGTGAGATGCAGTTAAGTCAAGAAAGAACCTAAGTGCAGAGTGGCACACACATCACCTGGCCCATTGGGACCAGGAGCAAAACCAAGTCAAACTGCCAGACCCTAGCAATTCAAGTTGGCCTGAAATATTGGCTGCATGACTCCACAAATTCCAGAATAGTTCTACATGTGTGCTTTGGTCTGGAGAGATGGCTATGGCATTCTTCCAAGCTGCACACCTGAAACAGTGACTAAAAGCTACAGCACGATGTACTTATACCCCTAACTCATAGATGCCTTGGCACGATGCTCACATGTGCCACATAACAAGTTCAATCCATTATCCTATTCTTGTCCCTTTGCATCCCTTGTTCCTCACAGCTTGGCAGTGGAGTGAGCACAGCCAGGTGTCAGCTCTGTCCTTAGGCAGTACTGAGTCACTCAGGCCATGTTTTTGTACCTTTGAACAATCAAGCGATTTTTCTCCCAACTTCAGTGCTATGAGTCACCTTGGTGTCAGTGCTTTTTCTGCTCTTACCGACGTTACGTTGATAACCATGGCAAACAAGCTTGTTGGGATCTCTTTGGGGACCTGGCATCATGGGAAGAATCAGGATGGTCTTCTGTTTTACTGCATGTTGCTTGGCTAACACTCATAACAGCTTTCTCCTCCCTTCTGTTAAGCCAGAGATTTCCATCCTCTTCCCCCTTGCCAATCCCTACCAATCACTTTCCCACCTTGTATTTCCCATCCTTGGCACCAGAGAGAACCTGGGCACATACAGCCCACACAGCTTTGGATGTTAGAGAAGCAAAGAGGAAGAAAGGTCGCACAGGAGCCTTATCTCTGGCTTTGCAGTTCTGGCCTGCTTTGAAAGCAAGACACGTATCGCTTTTAATTATTCATCTGGGCAACTGCAACCTCTGAGCAAACTCTCCTCGCCTGCCTGCACCTCTTGCTGCCCATCTTACAGCAGCAGGAGGTTGAGCAACATGGAAAACACCTCAGCATGCATGGATGTAAAACACCAAAATAACTTCAAACCTTCATCAGAAAGAAAGCGCGGCAGAGCAAAGTGAAAAATCAAGCAATTAATCACTCAGATATGAGAGACAATGGCAAAGTAAACCTTAGAACGTGTGCTGTCCTCCCTGGAAGATTGTCAGCCCCCAGCAGGAAGATTAAGGATGCTGATGGAAATTCCTCTCCCATCACAGTTAGCTGTAGAAGCACAGGACAGCAGCCTGCTTTCTTGTAACATGCCTTTCAGCCTCCTTCCTCTAAATAAGGAAGGATGATTCCCTGCAGAGCTCCATTTCTGCCTGCTGCCCTACAGCCCAAGTGGAAGCACTCAGGTCTTTATTGGATTTGGAGCCTTTCTGATGTGCTCAAAATGATCTGTCCTGCTTCTCTCGCACAGTTCAGTGCATGCCAGCATTAACTGGTGTAACCATGAGAGATCCAGACCCTCTGTTACACCTCCTTTGTGAGGAGACCCAACATGCAATCCCTGGAAGGCAGTGTTCATTTCAAAGCAGCACTTCTAGCAGTGCACTTAACGCTGGGCTTGAAGAGCCTGCGCAGCTTTGAGCTCACCTCTCCTTGACCCTCTGGGAGGACAACACACACAGCTATATCTGCTGCTTAAATTGGATTGCTTGTTTCAGTATCTCAATCTTTTCAGAACCCATCCAACAGAGCAAATTGCCCTGAGCGGCTCCTTTGGGTGAGTTCTCCAGCCCTTTCCATGGCTTATTATCTGAGCTGGGTGATCACAAGATGGGGAAAAAACAGGAAGGGGAAATTACTTAAGAATAAAGCACTGAACTGTAACAATCAGAAAGATCAATACAGCAGAATGGCAACACAGGAGATGGAATAACAAAGGGACTAGTGTGAATGGAAAGGTGCTCACCCATCTCTGAAGATCCAGGTTCACAGGGAAAACACCACAAGGAAGAGATCCCCAACCACAGATCCTCCCCCAGTGGCAGCCAGCCCTTCAATGAGGTCTAAGAGAGGTGCAGCCAGGCTCCACCCCTTCCTATCACACACCTGAATTGCCTCCACCTGTGCTCCCAGGGCTGACCAGGTCCTTTTCCCAGGTGCTCAATCAGTGCTTCAGGCCAGGACTCAGCAGTTCCCATACGCATCCCTCATCCCTGTCCAAATCAGGCTAATTGCCACTCGCTCCTCTTTTACAGTTTCTCACGTGAGCAGGAAAACAATGATCACTTCTCTTATAAACAATCCTACACTACTCTCTTATATGAATATTTTATTTTCACCATCATTTCCTAATAGCACCATGAAAGCATACATCATAGATGAGATGCCATACATACTTGTGATGTGATCACACCGCTTGATCTCAATCCTCTGCGTGCTTGAATCAGTCCATCCTTATGGGTTCTCACAAAGGGTCTGTGCTATCATCAGCCCTTTTTTTTTTGTTGGCTGTGGTTCTCCAAGGACATATCCGAGCCCATCTAAGGGAAGAGCAACAGCAGTCAGGTGCCTATGGACAGAGACACAGTGCCATATGTGCAATACATAGCACTGATTTACATCTCCTCCATCAAGCAATAGCATTTTTCTCTCCCCATCCAAACAGATGCAGCTTTGGGGTTTGTTTCAGGCTTTGTTTGAGGGATTAAAACCATCTCAGTCTAATCTCTTTTTGTTTTATACACCGAAAGAAGCATTAGAGATGAACACTAAGGCCACAATGGATTTCATTAATCACACCAGGCTTGGTTTGCTGTAGTAGGCACTTCCAGCAGAAGGTGCTCACAAACAGTTTAATCATTAATCTCCCTCCTCTGTTTAAACAGTGATGAACAAATCTGTGACAGCTTGGTTCCTGCTTCAGGGCAGGGGCTTCTTGTAAAAGCAGCAGTGCTGGGGGAGCCATCTCCCCTTATGGCAAATCCCACATTTTGGCAACATAGACCCCAGCTGATTGCAAGGACAAAAGGCCTGGAAAAATTGGTGCCTGGGGAATTGGTAGGAGATAAAGGAGGAATCACTTCTGGGTCACCAGTGCAAAAGAAATCAGGGTCCTAATGGCCAACAGTTACCGTTGCAGGATGGGTGCTGACAGGAGCATGGCACGAGGCACTGCATCTCCAATGGGTTTCAGTAGAGCAGGTGTTTGCAACACAAAAACACCACTGCCAGGACAAGGGCCACCTATCAACAAGTCCTCCTAGCTGGGTTCCTGGGGCACATCCCCAGCAAAAACCACATCCCGGTGGCAGATGGCCGGAGGGAAATGTGCACTGCCACAATTCATGTTCTGACCGTTGTGAATAATCAGCAGCTCTTTGGTGCCCCAGCTCTGTCACGAGGCAGCAGCCAGCCATGCCAGAAAGCTGCATCAGCCATCAGCTGTCCCAGCCAAAAAGCTGCTGGGGACTGATGTGCTGGGGCAGCTGCACAGGGATAAACACAGCCTAAGTGAGCTGCCTATAGGAGAACAAACCCTGTGGAAGCAGAGTCTAGAGATAAAACTATAAATCCGACGTTTATTTCTGCAGGCTTCCGGAAGTCAAAAGCACAAGTTTTGTTTAAAATGCTTTTGTATCAGTCACTTGCTTTGAAATTAAAGCACAATGAGAAAGTGAGGAAGCACCATCTGAGCTGATGTGATGGCACACCCTGCTGCACTGTGCTCAGCCTCCCGTCTTGTGGCAAGGAGGAAAGTGATGTCCTGATCTAAAGGGGCATAAAGCCAAATAAATAAATAAGAAGAAGAAGTAAAAAATATTAATAACAAAGAAAGAACCAATTCCACGGACTGTGATTACCTGGAAATCCTGCCCCTGGTAAAGGCTCTTCCCAGAGACAGAAGTGCTATGAGGAAATTGACTACAACTCCCAACATTCACTGAAGCCGCTGTTAAGACAAATGTTATCCGGGAACATCCAAAACAATCAGAAAACGAAAGCAAGCCCCAGTGGCTGCTGGAAGCTGTAGTCAGTTCCCCAGGTGCGAACTACGGAGTAAAAAGGTATTGAGAGCCGCCCTCCTCCCCAGCAGAGCCCAGCCGGGCTCTGAAGGAGAGGGCAGCCAGCAAGAAGGAAGCGCTATGCCCCATCAGAGTGCCCAGCTCCTTCCTTGGGCCTTTCACGCCAGCCCAGCGTTTCGGGGGGTCTTTTGTCCCGGGCCCGCGGCGCAACCAGCGAGAGCCGATCGCGGCGTGCGGGCGCAGCGGGGACGGGTAGACGCGCGTCCGGCTCAGACGCACGCAGCGCTCCGGCCGTCGGCAGCCACCGCCACGCCGCGTCCGCGGGGCCGGGCCGGGGCGCCGAACGCGGGGCGCGGCGCCGGGGGGCGGGGGCCGGNNNGCGGCGCGCAGGGCCATGTCGGCGCCGTGCCCGCGCCTGCCCGCCGCCGGGTCAGCACCGGCGGAGGCGGACAGCGCCGGCGGCATGGAGCCGCCCGCCGCCGCCGCCGCCGCCGCCGCCGCCGGGGCCGCCGCCCTGGAGCTGGCCCTGGAGGAGGAGCTGGCGCTGCTGGCCGCCGCCGGGGAACCGCCGGAACCGCCGCCCGCCGCCGCCGCCCGCGACCCCGAGCTGCTGTCGCTGATCCGGCAGAAGGAGAAGGACCTGGTGCTGGCGGCGCGGCTGGGCAAGGCGCTGCTCGAGCGCAACCAGGACATGAGCCGCCAGTACGAGAGGATGCACAAGGAGCTCACCGACAAGCTGGAGGTGAGGCCGGCCCGCAGCGCTCCGCAGGGCCCCCGCACGGGGCCGCGTTCCCCGGGAGCCCCGGGTTCGCTCCCCTTCCCCGACGAACCCGGGCGCGGCCGCGATAGAGAAGAAAGGGTCGAAACTCCCCTCCTAGGCCTGGGGTGCTGCCGTCCCCGCTCCCCGGCTGCCGTGCGGGCCTGAGGACGGGCTGCGAGCCGCGTTCGGGAGGCCCCGGGGTGCTGCTCTGCCCCACGTCCCAGCCGGGCGGGGAGACGCGCACCGTGCAGAAATGCCTCGTAAGTTACATTGATACCGAGGCACGGAGCGTTTGCAACCTTTTTGCTTAAGCTGTTGAAGCTGAGGCATTAGCATGGCAAGAGATAAGCCCCGCTGATACGTTTCTGCTTGCTGGTCGCTCTGAAAAATACCTACAGGTATCTCAGAGCCGTTTGCCGGGAGCCCAGCGGGTTGAGCTGTGTGTTGGCTTTTAAGGTTGAGATGGAGTTATTACAAAGAATAAGAGTCGGGTAGGCAGCTTCCTTCAGAACAACTCTCTCGCACAACAGTGTACAACTATCTTCTTTTTAGAGATATTCTTGCAATGTTGCTTCTCTGAGGGAGCAGCAGAGCTCCTGGTTGCAGCACAGCTTCTCACCTTCCTGGAGAGTCTGAACAATGCTCGGTTAACACCCAAATTTCAAGTAACGGCCCTAGGCCAATTCTTTGTGCATTCCTACATATTCCTGTGCTCATTCCTCACGGATTTACACCCCTCGAGTACTGTCACATTCATGGAATTACTGCACGGCCTTTGTTCTCAGACCTTTTTCTTCCCAAAAGGAGAAATTCCTCCCTGTTGTTAAACTCAGCACTTCACCATAACTGCTCCCTTTCTCTTTACTGAGAGCTCTCCCTGCATTTGCTGTTCGGTTAGAAGCAATACTGAAGGTGACATTTGCCCAAATTGTGACTTAGCAGCACTGTTTGTCAGACCAGAATTTCTCAGAGTGTGACGATTTGCTGGGGTGAATGTTTTCGGGTTGGTCTTTAAGCAAGAGCAGACGTCTGTGGCATTGTGCTGACGTGGATTCCCTGTGAGTTGGAGTAAAACCTTTCCTATCATCCAAGAGAAATGCACAACGTGAGGCACTTCCTGGGCTGCCCCTCTGTGAGTTTGGGGGTCTCAAACACCGCTGTCTGCAGAATGTAAAGGTGAAAAGGAGAGGAGAAAAAACTCAGGCTTTACAGTGCTTAAATAACATTCCCCAAATATTTACTTCCACTTTTATGAATCCATTTAGGAGGTGAAGGAAAGGATGAGAAATTCTGCCAATTGTTTGCATTTTTCATCCCATTGCTATTGCTCCAACTTTCCAGTTGAATGATAGGTTCTGGTTTTTCAGGTGATGCATCTGATGGGAGTTCTCTGCTTAAGGGTCGGGGTTTTTTTCTGCTGGCTTTATCAGATTTGAGTCTGTGCTCCTTGACCCACACAAACCTGAACAGTAATATTCTACAACACAAGCCTTGCAATCCTTGTTCCTGCAGATCAAAAGCTGGCTTCTTCCTGTTGCCACTGAAGTGAATTTCACAATAAGCTTTTCCCTCTTGGAGGAAGGGGGAGGAAGGACTCACATCTCTTAACCTCCTTCCCTACACTGAGAGCTCTCTGATGACCAGAAGCAAAGTCTCAAATGAAACCTTTGGTGACAACTGCACTGCTATAGTGATGTATGAGCAGCATTCAAGAGGAGAGATTTCCCCAGATAGCAGCCCCGAGTTGGTTATGGGAACCCAGTGAAACCTCTCCATTTCCCAGCTCCCACCGTGCTGCTCTTCTGATGCTCTGCCTCAACACTCTGTTTTTGCAGTGGTGTCACCACACTGGTGGTCAGCTTTGTTACCCGGGGCAGTGCACACATAGGGCAGAGACAGCTGCTGCTGGCCAAATACATTCTGGTTTTGCAGGTGTGGCACTGAAGCTCAGCATTCCCACCACACGCTCCTACTCTGATTTCAATTAAAACTCTGAATTTGAGTTCATTTCTAAACATACAACTGTAATAAACTCTGATCTGTGATCCCAGTTTTGTCCTCTGGAAGTGGTTGAGACATTTCATGTCTTGTTCTGTTGGTGCAGACATGCTTTTCTCATCTCAGCTTTTTGAGGCTGGATGTTAGGAAAAATATCTTCTCCAAAAGAGTGGTCAGGGCACTGGAATGGGCTGCCCAGGGGTCACTGTCCCTGGAGATGTTGAAGAAATGCTTAGATGTTGTGTTAAAGGACATGGTTTAATGGCGGTAGGTGGACGGTTGGATTGGATGATCTCGGAGGTCTTCTCCAACCTTGGTGGATCTATGGTTCTATGAGTGCAGGAACTGGACACAATGTGTGGCATGGGTTTTCCTTTGCACCAAGGCACTGAAGTGGTTTGTAAATGACCAGCAAGGCTCGTCGGTGGCTTCTCAATCACACGTGGGTATGTCTGTGTGTGCTAAGGAACTTCAGCTGCACTGCTGCTCCTTGGCAGGCTGAAGTTTCACCTTCCATTTAGAGAAGGCCCTGGATCTTTCTCAACGTTGCCTAGCAGTGAGAGAGACAGAGCTGTGAAACACAGCGTTTTTAGTGAGCTGCTGAAAGGGGAATTGTGGCTGCTCCAGCCACCCTTAGTTGTCACGGGCCTTGCATTAGGATCTCCTACTTAGTGCATTAAAAACGATGATTGTAATGCTGAGTATTTGCGAGGGGTACTCATTCCTTCAGCATCTGGCAATGCAGGAAAGCACTTGGCTTTGTTTTTACCCCTTGCATCTGAGGGTTTTCCAGAAAGTCCTGGATTTTGCAGAAGGATTTGGGAGGGTTACAAGCAGGGCATCGCTACATTGTGCTGAAGAGTGCATAGAAGATTTAGGGATAAGATCAAGAAGGAGACAATACGGCATCTTCTGCAGAGCAAGAGGGGTGAAACGTTAGTGATAACACAGGCCAGAGGGCTGCTGGGGAAGTGCAGAGCTCTGACATTCACTCCTGCCCAGGAAGGTGACAAAGACCCTGCAAGGCAAGCTGTGTGTCATCAGCAGTAGGCACCCAGGGGAAACAGCCACCTCACAGCCTGTGTTCCTAACAAGCAATAAAAAGCCACTTCACACAAATGCAGTGCAATTTTCTTTCCCTCCTAGCAGGTTTATTTTCCCTTCCGAACATAAGCGTCATAGGGGATTGCTCACTGGGGGATGATAACCTGGGAAAAATGCTGCCAGTGCTGGGCCCAGTGGCTTTCTGTTCTTTGCTGAGACATGTTCCTAAAAGGCTGTGAATCTGGTAGAGAGTAGCTGCAGGTTATTATTATGGGGGACAGAAAACAAACAGCAAGGAGAGGGCTCCTGCTCTTCAGGTTTCCCTGCTAATCTTAGGACGTGGCCACGTCCCAGTCTGCGACTGCTCTACAAGCACACACGTGGTTTCAGGCACCAGGGGAAATCCGAGCTCAGATTTTCAGAGCAGAGATTCTTTCAAACGGGCACAACAAATCTATTTTGACCTAATTTGCAGCTCTGTATCAGTCAAGCCCTCATTTAACTGAGCCTGTAAGGCATCTGAAAGTTCCACCAGGTTCACTCTGCCCCTTGTTTTGCCACACCAGCCCTAAGCAGAGCAGTTTCCAAAACTCAGAGTTGTTTCTGAAAGATTTGCAGCCCGGAATGTGCACGTGTCACATCTAGAGAAACTACTTCAGTGCATCCACTGCCACCCCAGAGGGGACTGCATCAAACAATGGAGTTACTGTGGACTATCAAATCACCAGGCAACTAATTAGGTCAGGAATAGAAAGAGCAAATGGATAGATGATTCAAGTGTTGTTCATAAGACCCATATGACAAGAAAGATGCCTCATCTAGCTTCCTCATCAGCACTAAGGGTACAATTTGTGTAATTTTTACTATAAAGGCAACTTTTGAAAGAATTCTGCCGCTGCCCACTGAAATTAATAATAATTCCTGCTTTGGAATTAGCTGGGCTCTGCTAATCGATTGGCCTGCCTGACCCTATATTTTCCACCTATTGCCTTGCAGCCTGCATTACTCATTTGGCAGTTCTTTCAGTAAAAATTCAATGTGCTGATCTAGAGAGGCCAAGGACAGGCCAACTGCTGGAAACAAGAAGCAAGCTTAGTGCCTGTGACCTGCCCTGACATGGGTGGGACTGCCACCCCCATGCACCGCCGTGCTCTATTACCGTTCTCCTTCCTGCACCAAAGCACTCAGCGCTGAGCACGGAGGAGCAGGAGGAGGCAGCTCTCACTTTTTTCCTCCCTTCCTAACCTCTTCTCCCCCTCCCTGTTACCTATAGCATCTGGAACAAGAGAAGCACGAACTGCGGAGGCGGTTTGAGAACAAAGAAGGAGAATGGGAAGGAAGGGTGTCTGAACTGGAAAGCGACGTGAAGCAGCTGCAGGATGAGCTGGAGAGGCAGCAGGTTCACCTGAGGGAAGCTGACCGTGAGAAGACACGGGCTGTCCAGGAACTCTCCGAACAGAACCAAAGACTCCTGGACCAGCTCAGCAGGGTGAGTGAGCGTTGGCATAAAGCAGGCAATTGGCATAATTGGTTGTGCTGCGTGGGTTGCGGTCATTTAACACACAGGTGCCTTTCTCAGCTCTTTGTATCTCAATCTGATTTGGCAAATCTGGTCCTCGTTTATGTATAGGCTGAGCAAACGTGAAATGCAAGAAAAAAAGCACATCTGGGGCAGGGCCAGAGAGCTGAGAGGCTCTTTGCTGACCCCCATTTATAGTCAATGTTCATTGACTATGAAGCTATTAAAGTGAAGACACCATGCTGTTCCACAATGGTGTGTCCCTGCAAATAATTCTGTGGTGTGTAAATGTCTGAGAACCTACTGAAATTCCTTGGAATGGCATGTTTCAGCAAAGAGCTCAGCTCTGAGTGAAAGAGGATTTGGAGTAAGGCTGCTACAAATCAGCCTAATTGATTGACTCTTTCCAGCACAGGTTTCATCCTGACAGCAAAAGACTTAACAGTTGCTGCCTCCTCCCCTAGATGCTGACCTGTCTTCTAGAATTAGGAATCTTGTCTTCTTCTCCCCACCAGACAATACAAATCATAATCTTAACTGCACTGAACACTGTTACTCCAGCAGAGGAAAGCATTTTCTCACCAGTTGCACATCCCCAAAATAGAATAGAACAAAAACGTGCACCAAAACTCATGCTGAGGAGATCCACCTAAGGGTAAGAGTGTATTTCAGACCAAGTTCAGTCAGAGATGGGTCTCTGGGGCTGGCAAAGATGTGTTTTAAGGGATTGGGTCAATAGTTCAGTTGCAACACTGGGACAGAAGACTGAAAAGGGCCAAGAATAAAGGCCTTTTCACTTGTCTCTGCTCTATCTGGGCATGCTGTTTTCCTGTGCCTCTGGAAGAGGTCTTCATATTATTCCTCATAAATATTTTATACTGGAAGTTGAAAAAAAATCATTCCTCATTCTGCTACATGTCTTCCTGTCAAGCAGTGAGGAAGTCACTTAGTGTGTTTAAAAATAATAATAATAATAGGAATAAAACACCCATCCTTAGTTCAGGAGAGCTGCTAAATTTACCACTGTTTTTAAAGCAGTATCTCCCAGGTGTAACAGATGAGCTAGAGAGGATCTCCTACCTCTTCTCTGGGCAGAGCATCTCACACACAATGAGACATGTGAGATAAGAGATATGTGAGATATGTAGATAAGAGGTTCTATCCGAGCCCTTGCAGATTTCCTGTGTTATGTCAGATTTATCACCTGAGGCCAAAGGCTTGGCTGTCATTAGATTTGGTGGCCCTCAGGGATTTTCTGTGAACGCAGGATTTCCATTGCTGGCTAGGAGATACCAGGTCTGTCGTGGCCCAGTGTAAGTAGGTAATAAAGACAGTCTAGAAGGTAGGAAAGGAAAACCAAACAGCTTGCTTTGGGCTTTAAACTGGATGGGATTATCCTCAGTTAACACTTGTGCTGCAGGAGCCTCTCACAGCCCAGCTGCTCAGTAAAGCCTTGTGCAAAGAATCCAGCAAGTTAGGTCTACCAGCAGTGTCAATACATGGGTTTTGTTCCCTCAGCTCCCTATTACTGCCAGAAATAATCCTCCCACTTCAGAATTATCCCATCTCAGGAAAAAAAAATTGTTCCTTGGCACTAACCTTGCTGCTTCAGCCCCCCCCCCTGCCCCCAGCTCTGTGTAGGGGACCAGATGTTCTGCAATGCTCAGATGAGCAGAGGAAGCAGCTTACTCTTGCTGAGGCTTCCTGGCCAAGATTCACTGCTCAGTGGCTTTGTCACCTGGTGAAGACTTGCCAGTAACTCAGATGTAGCCGAGGACGTAGTAGGTGTGCAAACAGCTCTCCTAGAGTCAAGAGAATGTAAGCAAACCAAAGCCAGGTCAGGAGTGGTTTGTTGCTCAGCCAAGGCTTTGGTTGAGGCTTTTAAGTATCTCAGCTCTTGATTACTGCATACTTGTTACGCCGTGTTTGCAGCTCAGTCTTTCTAGTTCTCTTGCTCTGAAGCGGTTGTGTATGCAATGTTTGAGGCAGAAGTGGTGCCTAAGCCCTGGTCACCCACATAGTTCTGGCCCCTGTTAGTGCAATAAACAGATGCAGATACACACACATTTGCCTATAGTTGTATTGCCATAGGCTGGGGTCTCTCTAGAGATCACAAACTGATCACCAGCAGAGGAAAAATCCTGCAAAGGTGTGCTGTTACAGCTTCTGTGAAATTAGAGGTGCTGCTGATACCTTCTGAGTCCCCAGTTCTGCATTTTTTGTCACAATGCTCTGTCTGGGAGGAATACACTGAGAAAAATCAGTGATAAGGCAATTAAAGCTTCATTCAGAGCCTCAGCTCTACCCCCATCTGTCACTGAGCACCCTACTAGAGGTTTCACTCACAGGAGGACAAAGAAATGTTGCTCTCTGATATGAGTCATTCTATGCTAAATAGACACTGGCTCTTTAAAATTTAATTTCTGCAGATTGGCAATTAACACCTCATGGCCCAGTTTCACAATACTTGAGCATCTCTCTGGGAAAGGCATTCCCTTGGCACCAGACTCTGTACATCAAGTGATGGTTCAGCCTACAACCTATCAGCTCACATCGTCCTCCTTGCTTCTTTGGGGTTCCTGCTTGCTTCTTTGGGGGTTCCAGGCTTCTACCCCTTCAACCTCAGAGCCAGGCAGCATCCACCATCTCCTAACCCACCTCCTTCCTGCTGTCACACTCTTTTACTAATTAAGCCTTAGGTTTTTTTTTTTATTCATGCTACCTTTCCCAGAGATGAAGGGCCAACTCAACCACCTGCTTCTTTCCAGTGTGAACCTGGCACAAATGTTAACCAATTGAGCACGCACTCCCACACACAGATAGCAAAGGGACCTAGAAAACTCTGTCTTGCAATTAAAGCATGGGACTGAAAAATCCATCCTTGATGCTGGCACAGACTGGTAAGAAAAACAGGAGACTGTTGCAGGCTCTAGAACTGGAGATAACTGTCTTGCCTTAGAGTTGCCAAGAGGCTACAATCAGGTCTGTAAAATGACTTGAGGTCTTCAGATGAGATGATGACACAGGAGAACTTTACATATCTAATAATAGTAAGTAGGCTATAAAGAACTTTGCCTCTTCTTGCAATACAGCCTTCTGTTAGAAGCAAAGAACCACACCAGAGATACCAGCCAGAGTTCTAACAGCATTAAACAATATGGAAATGAGGTAAGGCTGGGAGCTCATAGTGAAAGACACGACTCAGATGCTGAAGATCAAGTTTAAGATCTTCACAGTAACCTTATTTTTTAATTTTCTAAGTGATGATTGCAATCCCTTCTGCATGATTGGATTTCCCTCCCCCTGCTTCAGCATAGCAGAGCAGGTAGTACTTCTCAGCAGTGCCCATGCCAAAGCAGATGCTGATTTTTACCTGGGAGAGCTGCAGAGCAGGTACACCGAGGTACATACAGCTCACCATAGACACTCAGAGTACAGGAAGCAAAGCACAGCTCCACCAAGAAAGCCATGGCTTGGAAATTGTTTTGTTTCCAACTTCTCCACTCTCTCCCATCTGTTGCAGTTCCCCATTTGGAAGAAAGAAATAAAATCTTTATCCTTTTAAGTTATAAAGTAAAGGGGGAGAATGGAGATGGGGAGCCACGTAGTGAAAGGTTTCCTCTTACATGCAGCAACCACAGCAAGAGTGCTGTTCCCACCTCAGGGCTTCCAGGAGCTTCTAATATAAATAGCAACAGCAACCTTTGCCTATATTGAGGCAACATATTACTACTTTGTCAGGAAGTGAATGGAAAAAAAAAAAAAAAAGACTTTCACACTGTTTCTAAGGAGTTTCACCAGATGGCATTCCCACACATTTCCTGCTATCAGCCCTGGGCTCCTGGAGCTGTTTGCTGCATGCAACTTGGGCAAGGATGCATCCTTCCTAGTTCTGTTGGGTTTCTTTTCTGGTACACCGAGTACGAGGCAGTAATCTCACAACATTGAGCTCAGGTAGTTTTTGCAATGAAAGTCCCTTTTCAGTGGCAGGAAGCAAAGTGTCACCTTGCACTGCTGAAATGGCTCTTTGTTTAGAGAGGAGCACTGCAGCATCCCTCAGAGGGACCCTCAATCACCAACTTCTTATATTCCTTCAGCATCTAGTGCAAACACATTGCTACAAAGAATGAGGTGTTTCAGTCAGTCCCTTTGGTAAAGAAAGGCAGTGACCAACCAGCCCTCAAAGTCTCCAAAGGATTTTGCATTTGCCTGCCACAGAACCTTCCTTTCAGTGATATTTCAAGGGAAGGAGTTCTGTTTCCTGCTTTGTGCTGCAGCATAGCTCTGGAGGACCAGCAGGCCCTGCCTGATTTAGATCTGAAAGAAACATGGTGAGTCACTGGAACAGGTTGCCCAAGGAGGCTGTGATGCCCCATCCCTGCAGGCATTCAAGGCCAGGCTGGATGTGGCTCTGGGCAGCCTGGGCTGCTGGTTGGTGACCCTGCACACAGCAGGGGGTTGGAACTGGATGAGCATTGTGGTCCTTTTCAACCCAGGCCATTGTTTGATTCAAGAATGAACTGAGTATACGGTACCATCCTTTCCAAATCACTTGTGCTTTAAATATCTCCTCCAGTGGTCAGCAGCACGCTTAGAAAAAACAATGGCCCTGTTGTCAGTGACTAACAAGTGTGTTGGGCAAGATTTGGTGCTTCTTCCATGCCAGAGATGTGCAGCCATTACACTATGAGCTAGCTTGTCCTCATTTCTAATGTACAGATGCTTAATGCAAGCTGCCTTGCATTTATTGAGTTGTCTGTGTCAGCACAGCAGGGCATATTGAGAATCTCCATGCTTAGCATGGAAACAAGTCAGGCTCAAGCCAAGCACTGCATTGGGGGCTTTATTTTTTAGACAGAGGAGAGCCCCAAGTAGTGCAAAGCTGAAGAAAAGTTACTGTGACATTTCAAGGTGTGAATCAGTCACTACACCGAATTCTTTGTAAGACTGTCACGGCAAAATATAAAGTT